CTTCAATAATAATAATAATAATAATAATAATAATAATAATAATAATAAAAACTACAAATTAGATCTTTAGGCTTAACGTCTAACTTACAATCTCTTGTAAAAACATTTGTTCTATTTTTTGTGTTTAAAAGTGTGGTTTTATTTTCTCTCCTGTATCTCTTTCCTCACAGACCAAACAACAGATAAGCAGCATAAGATAGAGAGAATGGATCAAAGGTTTATTTTTGTAATATAGGTAGCTGAAAATATGATCTAACAGTCTATTAGATTGCTGAAATAGTAATTTGGCACTTTTAAAAATAGAAAAGCAGATTTATTTWTTAGAGCAAAACCTCAAAATGATGCTATGTCCATCTTTGAACAAAAGATAAATATTTACAGTAGATGACAAATGCAATTTTAGTCCTTATCCTTTAAACTATCAATGCTGATTGCTAATATTAGCCAAAATTACATGTTGGATTTTAGAAGACGGGTAGGATAATCCCAAATTTAAACATAACTGCATTAGAKTGTAAATAAATGAGACAGGATGAGGATTTCTGATGATTTAATGGATTATTATTCCCACAGTGTCTGAATGAATACGGTTTCTGTTCTTCTCACAGTAAAAAAGGTAAATATAATCAGGCAGGAGCAGTTTAGAGCCTTAAATTAAGCTAGATTAATTTTTATGATACAGCTAGCATCAGAACCAGTCATCATCCAAACAGCCACAACCTCAAAATTTGATAAAAACTAAACTAACGTGATAAAAGGAACGATGTCAGGTCGTTTAGTTAGCTTTATTTATCTGTTAAAACGCATATTAACCTCGTTTAACGTTACGAACAAGCTGTCAAAAGTTAGCGGTTCGGCTAGCCACTAGCTCTGGTTAAATCCAGCCCACAATGAGACCACAACACCCGGCCTAGCAACAGCAAACACCGCGGCGGTAACCTCGGCTACAAATCCGTTAGCATTACCTGGCTAACGCTCGTCCGGACTCGAATGCATGTCTCCCTCAGAAATACGAAGTGGCCCGGCCTGGCAGACTGCCCGGCCGGCCGGTTCGTCGGAACGCAGCTGCTGAACCGATGACCCGCACAAAACGGCGTCGTTACCGGTTCGTTAATCCAGAACTCACATCACTTTGCCCCGAGAGTGAGCCGTCGATGAGCCAACAACTGGGTCCGCACCGTTTAGTGTCCGGCGCACGTACCGGCGCGGAACGCAAATCACCTGATCATGCTCGAGACGGTTTGCCGTATTTTGTTTGTTTTATTTTTGACGCAGTACGCTTACATCACTCTAAAGAGTCGTGTCGGTCTAACAGGTGTTCTAAAGCGATACGTCATCCCGCAGGCTTTATTTAATCTTTAAACTCCGTGGCAGCTTGCTGGCACATTCGTCTAGTTTATGCGCCGGTGAACCGCTAACGAGCAGACCCTTTAGTCACCGATTGCGTTTCTCTTCTGACACTTACGGTATTTCTTCAAACGTCTCCTTTACCTGGTTTAAAATCAGAATTAAAGTACCTTCTATCGACCCTTGTTTTCCACTTATTGGCATCCCTTTAAACATTTACAATAATCGAACCATTAACCTCCCACGCCGGTTTTCATCAACTGTTTAATGTGACGGTAGATTGGTTAGGAGCAGATCCTGAATGATTCAGCTACTTATTGCGCAGGTTTTCTAGTCATTACGGTACWTAGTTTTCATCCGGAAAGATGTGCCGCAGTGTTTTTATTTTTAACACTTAAACTCCTCCCCCACTTCTGGTTTTGCTTCAGCTTGGTCACAGTTGTTAAACATCTCAGTAAATCAAATAATTGAACAGAACTTTAAACAAAATCAAATGAAGCTGCTAGTTTTATTAAAAAACTACAGATTTATTGGTCAAAAATGTAAAATTCTACCTAAACAACCATTTTTTAAAATGTAATCAGTCTTTGACAAGGTGCATGTTACATAAATGAAAGGTTGTGATAATACTGGGTTTATCATCAGCATTTGGTCTTTTTAAATGTAGTTTATCCTGTTTTTTCCCCCAATCAGGAGAAAATAAACCAGGAAGAAGGCAGAAGTGTTTCCGTGTAGCTGCTTCGTCACGTACTGTATCAAAGTTTTTCTAACACCACCCCCCCCCCCCAAGTTTTTTATCTTCCAGCATTAAATGTTCACGACACGAACGTCTCAGAGTTCTTCTCTGCGATTCGCTCTCCCGGGCTCATCCATGCCGAAGAAGGAGGACGGCAGGCCACGGACGTCTCTTTCTCTCTTCACGAAGGCGGAGAAAGAGGAGACGCAGTTGCCGATGAAGTGATCGGCTCGTCCCAGGACGTACAGGTCCATCTGGGCCAAGTCCGGCTGGAGAGTCACCACTTCCACCTGCAGAGAAAAGCACAACTAAAGACCTGAAAAAAACAAAACCTGGACCACAGATCAACACACTTTTCCCTTGAAGAGCTTGTTGATGTCGCCGGCGTGGGACTCCGAGTCGGTGGCGATGTAGACGGAGCGAGCCGAGGTCTTCTTCACCCACAGTTTGACGGCCCTGAGGATCTCCGTCAGGTCAGGGAGGCACATGGTGGAGGTGAGGGGGCGGGCCGTCTGCCGGCTGTAGCCCACACACTGAGGGGAGGCCATGAAGTGAGGCCCCGCCTCCCCGCTGTCCAGAAGTTTACAGGCGTTTTGCTGCAGGAGGGAGAATCAGGAAGGAGGTGTTCAAATTTGATTAATCTGTCATTCATCCATCCATCCATCCATCAACCAACCAACGATCCATCCATCCATCCATTATCCATCAACCATCCATCCATCCATCAATCATCCATTATCCATCAACCATCCATCGATCCATCCATCAACCATCCATCCATCCATCAATCATCCATTATCCATCAACCAT